GCAAGGGCCTTAATAATTCGAACAGGGTTTTGGGCTCCTTTATAGTACCAGTATAATAAGGAACACTAAGAAGTAATATCCTGCATTACCTCCTATACCTATACCCTAAACTGTGGGAATTATGGTATTTTCCTTGTCATGGGTACTGCAGGATTCATATCATCAAACCCTACATTCTACTATAGAAATACATAGGACCCTTTAAGAAGGGTACCGTGCATATGGTTCTACAAAGGGTCTGAGCGTTTAGGATTTGTTTGGGGTCTGCGATTGAGGGTTTAGGGGTCTGGGCAAGGTATATGGGGGTTTCAGAAAATAGGGGACCCCAATGTAGTACCCTAAATAGTAAGATCCTTATTATAAAGACCCCAAAATAGGGTACCCTAATTTTCGGAAACTCCCATATAGGGTTTACACAAAGGTTTCAATTATGTGACTGCTCTATCTGGATGTTGAGGTTGGGGTTCAGAGCTTTCTGAATCCAATGCCGCGGGCCTAGCCCTAAACCCTAAACCCCCAACTGTTAGTATTGCGAATAGGGTTTTGGGGGTATATTACAGTGTCACAGTAAGGAACTTGAAGGCACAGGATTGGTAGCCAACCCCCCCCCCCCCTACCGTATACCAGTCCGAAACCCTTACTGCCCAAATCCTAAGTACCTCAAGCAGCCGTATACCCTAAATCCATAAATGAACCCGGAACTATGCAGGAATGCGATCCGAGGAGCTCTGAGATCACGAGCAAAGTTTCGCTGTCTTGGATCAAAGCTTTCTTTCGGCCGCCTCGTAACGCACGCGGGTTTAATATAGTAGTAATGGGGAGCGCGCGTGTCTGTGTGTGTGTGTTGGGGATATATATATATATACATACATACACACATACACACATATGCATACATTTGTAGATGCATTAGTCACAGGAGTGTACGTGTATATATATATATATATGTATACGCATCTCAAATAGCCAATAAGTACATGAACAATATAAAATCAACAAACAAATAAATAAGTAAATAAATAAACACACACTTGGAGGTACTTGGCCACTTAGGGCCTTGGTGAAGGAAGCTCAGGCCCAACTGCTCTTGCGTTTAGGGTTTCGGGGTTTAGGGTTTAACGGTTTAGGGATTTAAGGGTTTAGGGTTTAGGGTTTGGGGCTTAGGGTTTCAGGTTTCGGGGTTTAGGGCGTAAGGTCTTTCGCGAGTTTATTTTCATTTTCTTAAGGACCATTCAAACATCAATAACTGCACTTACTACACCCCCAATAATCTCTAGCCCTGAGGGATTTAGGATGTTGGGTTTATTCCCATTACATGCTGTACGTGCTAATTGTACTGCTCGCGATCGTTGTAAACACAACCATGGCCGCCGTGAAAGTCTGAATCCGAACCCCACCGAGTTGCTGGGCGCGTGGGCATCGATGGGCAGGTAGCAACCTCCTGCCGCCAACACGGCAAAAATTGCGATGACCTGTCGGCTCGGGGACGTAGAAGGATTCAAGGGTTTGTGTAGGGTCGGAAGGGTTTATAGGGTTTAGGGTTTAGCCATCAACCCCAACTCACGGGCATGCAGGGTTCAGGACTTAGCTAGGGCTTGCGGGCACAGGCAGTTCTCCAAACAATGGCCCAAGGACCTGCGAAAAGCTTCGCTGAAGGCAGAGCGCAGCGATGTCGCCAGGATTGACCTTGGATCGCTTACCGCTTAGGGCCAACCAAAGGCAGTTGATGGACATTCAAAAACTACATACCTCTGCCACGAGTCCTGCAACGGTTCGTTCTGCAAGAAGCCAGCGATCGAAATGTGTAATGTAGAAGCCTCAATAATTGGAATAGGGTTTTGGGGTATATTCTACTATAATCATATTTAATAAGGAACCCCCAAGTTGGCAATTATTAGGGCCCCTAGAGTAGATGTGGCTGCCAGGTTAAAGCCTCCTATAGACCCTAATTCCTTAAACCCCTAATGTAGGGACCTTCATGATTAGAATACGGTTTTGGGCTCCTTTATTACTGGTAGTATAGTTGCAATGAGGAGCCGTAAGGAATAATATTGGTAATTACTTAGGCTTCTACATTAACCCGAAACACCAAAACCGTGTACAGGTTGATTGGTCCTTTGCTTAGAAACCTTAATCCTTAATTAGGCTTCATTATGGTAGTTCTCCAGGCTGCGCCAAGTTCACGCAGGGCGCCCGCAAGCTGCAAGACAGCCTGCAGTAGCTCCTTTCAATTGCGACTTGGGGCTTTGCGTGACGTGTATGGGAGCACATCTGTCTGCCTGTCTTTCTGCAAGAAGCAATCCCCGGCTCCATGTTCGCACGGGCAAAAAGAAGCCCGCAATGTAGGAATTTGATCCACAACTCCCCCTAGTCACTAGTCCCCTAGTCAAATGCCGTCACACCCCGGATGATTGACACTGGGGTGCGGGTTTGAATGTGCCAGAGCAGTCCGAAGCAAATTTCGAATCTCAGAGTGCATGTGTTCATGCATGTGTGTATACATGTTTACAAGTGCATAAGTACATACGTATATGAGTATACGGGTATATGCGTATACAGAAACATATACGTACTACTGCCACATCTAGGTTTACATTTGTGTACAAATATATGTGTTTATACATATTGTATGCATGTATATAAGTTTATATGTTTGTATGTTCACGTGCTTGTGTATGTATGTATGTATGTATGTATGTATGTATGCATATATATATATATTTATTTATATTTATATTTATATTAATTTATTTATATGGACACATGTCTATGACTGAGACGAAGTAGTTGCTGCTGTTGCTGCTGCTGGTGGTGGTGTTGGTGGTGTGCAATTTGCTATTGTTGCTGCTGTTGCTGTTGCTGCTGCTGTTGTTGATGATGTTGTTGCTGCTGCTGGTGTTGGCGCTGGCGCTGGCGCTGGCGCTGGCGCTGGCGCTGGCGCTGGCGCTGGCGCTGGCGCTGGCGCTGGCGCTGCTCTTGTTGTGACGATGATGAGTGCTGCTGCTGCTGCTGCTGCTGCTGCTGC